AATTAATAATAATAATAACAATAATAATAATAATAATAATAATAATAATAATAATAATAATAATAATAAATAATAATAATAATAAATAATGGTAATAATAATAATAAGTTTAATAAGATTAATAATATGTCATGGCAAGATTAATAATTAAATGATCATTAATTAATTGATTAAGGATAAAATAAAACGATGATGCTAAACAGTAATGAATTATAAAAATTACGTGGAATAGGTAAGATTTTGAATAAGTGTTATTTTTTTATCCAAAATATCCGCCATCTCATTATATAATTCATCAACACAGCTATAGCCTTGATCTTCCCATGAAAATTCCTGAAAAAAAAAAAAAACTTTTTTCAGATATTTGAGGAAGAAATTTTTCCGGATAAAAACACTTGAAATATTCAAATACGCAAAATAAGCAAGTATGAAATGTTTCATCAATCGAATTAAATTAAAATCTGAAATTTGCTGAAAAAGTTTTATTTTAATTTCAGAAGTTCAAAAAAAAAGTATCGACTGATAACTAGTACTTCAGTATGAATTTGAAATTTCAAGAAATGACATTTATATAAATATGTATATATACATTTAATTATTTATTTCTTATTTATATGCATTTATTAATTTATTTACTTATTTATTAAAAACCATTGTAGGAAAACAAAATCCATGAATCAATAACTTCATATTCCTATTTAAATTAACTTCATATTTTTATTAATCTTAATTACTAAAACGAATTTTACATAAACTAACATGAATTTTGTGAGTTCGAGCGAAACCACCTTGAGCACATTGCATAAAATCAACATAATCGAAACATTCATTAAACGTATATAATGATAAAGTATCATGATAATTGTTTTCCATGCAATTACCTTTCGATTTATTTGCTGATAATGAAATTTTCTCATCCTTTATTCCTACGAAAAGAAAAAAAAATTACATTTAAATTAAATGGATGAAATGAATTCATTTTATCAATAAAAATTATTTAGCAAATAATAAAATTGTTTGTTTTGTTTTTGTTTGCTTTTTTTTTTAAATTTTAATTATAATTTTTTTTACCAGAATTTGTTGATTTGATATCATCACAATCGTTTTGCACTTCCAAAAAATCCTTTTCCATTTTCATTTCACCTTTTTGCTTCATATCATTATTTAAATTTGATTTTTTTAATTGATTCATATATTCCAATAATAATTCAATTTCACCATTACTACTACTACCACTACCATTCTTTTGTTCGTCCTTTATCATCATTTTGCATGAACTGAAATTTAATATTTAAATTTTTTAATTCAACTAATAACAACAATATCAATAACAATTCTTTTATATTTATTATACTTGCATGGTTATATAATAATGATAACAATGTTAATATAGTTATATCGGTATAACAGTAATAATGAAGATATAATTGTATCGTTACTATAATAATATAATTGTATCGTTACTATAATAACAACTAATGATAGTAATTAATAATAATAATAGTAATAATAATAATAATAATAATAATAATAATAATAATAATAAT